TTATTTGATAAGAAAAAGGAAAGAGTTGCAGTACCTATGGAAGCTATGAATTTAATTAAATAAAAATTGAAATTCTTTTGATACAACAAATTCTAGTGCGTATAGAAGAATGTTGTTAACTTTCATAAGAATTTGATAATTTTATTCCTGCAGTGAAATATTTTACTAAATTAATAAGCTCGAAAACTTTGTTGTAAATCTTATATTTTGTCATAATTATATTTTGTATTTCTTTATTAAAATTATACAGTGAAAAAATATAAAAGTTCACTTAAATAGAAAAATGACAAGAAAGACAAGCTTTAGTATTTATAATACAATATAAAGCTTTTCGTAGAGTTGCTATTATTGGCAAAATTGAAACTCTTACAATTTTGGAAACAAAAGTTGTTTAATTTTTTTTTATTAAAGCTGTTTCGGTTTTCAAATTTTTCTTGGCAACTAAAAATTTCTATGTAGGGTTTCAATGGTACTAAGAAATAAAATAAAATAGTTTTGAAAAAAAAATTAAGTATCAGTTAACGTTCTGGTTATTAAAAGTTGATATTTGCTTCACTTTAAACTCAACGATGGTTTAAGTAAATATTCAAAAATTGTCTAACAATCCGAATAAAAATGCCATAAATTTTTTTTTAAGTTACAAAAGTGTTTCTCTTTCTATCTTCTTAAAAAATGAGTATTTATAATTTATGAAATATATTCTAATTTTTTATTATTCAATTACTTGAATGGAATAAAAAATTCAAAGAAGCAACGATAAAAAATAATATTTTATTCTTCCTAAAGCCTTCCTTAAACAAACTCCTATCACAGAACTTGGCCTACTTGATTTTTAAATATGTGTATATATTTATACATAAAATTAATATGTAAATGCGTCTTTAAAATAAGCATCAAATTAAAATCGAAGGCTCACCAAAATACATTTTTATAACCAAATGAGGTAAATATGCATATGCTGATACCCAGCAGTAAAAGCGAAAGAGTAAAAATTTTAGATAAATTATTTCTTGGGAAATTGCCAATTATGGATTAATTATTAAACACACTTTGGATTAAATCTATTATATACTGTCATGCAATGGACTCATTGTACAAGTAATCGCTGTAGATAAAAATTTTTTAAGTTCTGCCTCTGCGAACTACTTATATAGCATATATAAATTACCCTGTAAGTTACCAGTATGAAGCTGATGCATACCCGGACAATGGAAATTTTGTGCGAAAAAGCCGTTAAAAAAATTAACCATTCCCAAAAGATGAAAATTGCGGAAAATGTAGTAGTTAGAGCGAAAACTAGTAACAATCTAAAACGAAGAAAAACTGGCTACATGCCCTGCAGGGTATATACCTTTATTACACCAGCAATTAGGCTTATTGTCTAGTTAACAGCTTTTGTATGTGCATTTGGCATGAAATGTTTAATTACGAATTTCTACATTAACCGAGCACTGACGATAATAATTGCCTTGATCATCAAGTAATTACCACAATTGCAATTTAATGATCAACTCTGCATACAAATTCATGCAAGTCTAGACCCTCACATACAAATGGAAATGTATATGAAAGCGATATTCTGCGACAAAATTTATATAATGAATTTTTTGTTTTAAATGAAATACTTGGGAATCAGCTACTGAGTAGTTAGCAAGCAGTATGTGTATATAATTCTTTGTTAATGTTTTTGTAGTGCAAATCAATATTAATTTGTAGAAAATTAAACAATTAAATTACCAAACTACAATGGGCAACTACTCAATTGAACGAAATGCAATTAAAACATAAAATGGGTAGAAGTTAATTTGAGGTGAAATTTGATTATAATTATAAATGCCCATATTTACACGAAAAGGCATAAATAGCTATGAATAATAATTTCGAAAATAAAAAAGGTATAGACGCAAAATTTTCTAATTGCGGCCGCCTCTCGGCAGTCAATACCAACACTTTGTAGTGTATTTCTGACATTAAATAATGTCTCCTAATAAATACCATCAGCCTTTTGGAGAAGTCTTTTTATAAACTGTGGGTTACTCCATTTGTTGAAAAAAATATCAAGACGGTAAACCACAAATTGGAGGTGGAGCTCGACCAAAAAACGCTTGAGCGGTTACACAGCAACAATTATAAATATATAAAGGGTGGTCCAATCATAAAGTGCATAGGCTAAAGCTATTTATGAAATAAAATATCGCGCACATGGTCTCCACAGCTTTTCACATATATGCACGCCTGAAGTGTTTCACAGTTGACATGTGGCACGTCCTGTTGAAACCACACATTAGCCACATTATCCAATTACACCAAAAATTGACATGTTGTGGATGCATTGCTTTTCCAGCATTCATATATGGTTTCTCAAAATCCAAAATACACAATTTTGACGATTAACAAGCCCAGTGAAAATGTGTTTCATCGCTTAGGATGATTTTGCTCGAAAAATCAACATCCATTTGTTGCTGCGCATTAATCCATTCAATGAACCTTATTCGCCATAAATGGTCAAAGAAAAATAGTAGAAGTGACTGATTCAGACTTCTTATGGCAGGCATCGAAGCAATGGAGCCTGACTTAACAGGCGAGTGCTCTACCACAGCGCCAACATCAGCCAAGTAATCTATTTTTGTATTATTCAATTTGAACCTTTTTTAATTTGAATTTGACAAGTAAGAAATTCGGAAGGTAAGCATTAAGTATTTTATATTTCTTTGAATCTGTTTCAGCTATAAGAGTTTAACAGTAGTCGCACATTCATCCCAAAATTCTTATCGTCTTTCGATGTTGGGCAGATCTGGATGTAGCTCTCTCCGCGTGCAAAATCAATGCAAAAATTGAGATAAGGAAGAAAAAAAGTTTTGGGAAATATGTCCACGCTCCTGTTTTAACGCCATTATTAACTTTGGAACTAACTTGATTAAATACTGGAAAAACCATTCTTCATGGTTGAGTATTTCGACGAAGTTCTTGATTAGGAACATGTTTTATGAATTTGCGGAGACATTTTGCTGTTCAAGCTTGAATCATTTCTTGCTAGGAAAAGAACTTTATGGATATTTGTTATGAATTCCTATTCCCAGTAAGGGTTTTATAATCAGCCTTAGTTACTAAATTACTAAAGATACCTTATGGGAAATAATTGATTTGCACTCAGGTGTTCACAAGGTAAGGTGATTAATAATTTGCTTTCGGTCATAAATTATCAAAAAAAAATATATTATATGCCGATGGCTTAAAGGTTTTTAAATTACATTCTCAATTAACTGATTTAAATAATATTGCAACTTGGCGCAATAACAATGATTTACATTAACCGCTGCGTTGCTTTGTGAAAGGTTGAACTCAACGGTCGAGGGACCCTTTTAACGGTTGTGCCAAGTAGAGTTACTTTTTCAACAGCCTTTTTGTGACAGATCACGCGAAAGACAAGTCAAGCTGTTATATTATTTTAGTTCGGTATTGCTTGGCATTTCATAATGAAAAGACTTATACCTAAAAAATGTTTGCAAATCATTCAACTTTATTACGAAAAATCACGTTCGGTTTTGAATGTGTTTCGCGCGCTTCACTCAATTTAAGGTCAACATAACCGGCCAGCTGAGCGTACTATTCGCAATACCATCACCCATCTTGAGACCCCGGTGTACACGATGATCGTGGAGAGTCGACTCGGCGGCTTTCACAGCAACTCAGACTGACCCCATTTCATCCAGAAAAAAACACGGTTTGGTGTGCTTTGTTGGCCGGTGGAATCATCGGTCCATATTTCTTCAAAAATGATGCCGGTGAGCATGTAGCTGCCATAGGCGACCGTCAGCGCGCCATTACAACCGAATATTCATTGGCTGAAATTGAAGCTCGTGAGGTCGGAGACATTTGGTTTCAACCAAACCGCGTCACTTTCCACACACCGCATCAATAATTAGATTTTTTGAGAGAATATTTCAGTGAGCAGATGATTTCACATCGGCCACCAAGATCGTGTGGTATCACACCATTAAACTTTGCTCTGTGCAGATATATAAAATCTAAATTCTATGAGGACGACCCTGGTTCAATTCAGATCTTGGAGCAAAGCATCACGCTAGTCATTGGACAGTTATCAGTCGAAATGCTCGAACGATTCATCGAAAATTAGACTTAACTGGTGGATGAGCCGTAGCTGCAGCCAACATTTAAAAGAGAGAATGCTACAGAATGCTATCTCGAAGAATAACATATATTTTTCATTAAATTTTAATTTTCTGCTCTTTCCTTAACCCTTTGTTACGAAAATATTTTCTATGTCATTGGTGAGACCAAGATTAAAATTTTTGAAAATTGGAAAGTCCATTCTGATTAAATTGAGTTTGTCTTGGATAATTTCAAATAGGTTAAAATATATATTATAAATAAATATTAAGAACAGGTAATTGGAGTCTGTTCAAAAACAAATTTTACTTTCTGCGTTAAGACTTTTCCGGTGGTACTATACGATAATTCTTCCTCCCCATAACAACCGATTAGAGCTTCTAAATCTACCTACTCTCCCAAGTTGTAGCTAACTTGTAGGCTCCCGGTTCGTAGTACAACTTCTTAACCGAACAATTCGCAGTTCATGGCTTTTATCTGAAATAATATTTAATTCCATCTCGGGTATCTATGTAGTTTAGGCCTTTACTATTAAAGTCAAGTAAAACAAATTCTTACTTCTCTCAATAATGAAATTTAAATTTTATAATTACTAAATTTCAGATGTTGAATATTTTTTTTAAGCTGAATAGTTTTAAATATCGACGCTTAACAAACTCCCCCAATCATGAGTCCGCATATTCCGTACACTATGCGGATGTTGCCACTCGTGTCGGTTGGGATGGTGGAGAGTATCGGTTGGGCTTATTATTATTAAAATAAGATTTTCAACAAATTAAGTATCATTGTATTCACACCTGTAAGCACACTGTTTTGATATTTGAAATATATTTTTTATTTAAACTTTTTTATTATTTGTATTTTTACAGCGATGGCCTGTCCCATTCAGCGCTCAAGGAGTCCGACACAAAGCGTTTGGAAATTTTACGCAACATTACCGATTTGCTTGGACGTACATTTTCGTCGCAATTCGTTTTTCCTGTGCTCGGACATGAAGATGGAACAACAAATTTTCGACACTTGGGCGAGCTGTGGCGGCATTGGTTGCCGTCGGAGGCTCTGCATACGTTTGAAAAAGGTGAGCGTAAACTAAACTACTATATTTAAAGGAATTTTTTTTATTATAAATATAAATCTATAACTTTCTGCTGAGGGGCTTCACAAAATTATTAATATTATAATAACTGTTAAAGAAATGGAGCGCCTAAAACTGTGCAAATTTCAACTCGAAATAAGCTAAAAGCTCGCTTACGGCTTGAGTATAGTTTCAGGAAAATATTCTTCACAACAACGAGATGCCAGACATTGCATTTTACCGACCATTTCAAAGTTATATGTTTATAAAAAATTAAAAACATTTACTTTTCTTTTAATTTTGTATACATAATTATTTCAGTCTTAAATTCGTTTGGTTTTTCTAATCGAAAATACAAAAAATAAATTATCTTGATTAAGTTTGATTTATTGTTTTGCCATTAACATCTAAATTTTTGGAAATTTTTTTCAATAAATCTTTTAATTTTTAACCAATTGTGAGTATTTAAATATGCTCTTATCTTTTTTCAACTCTTTCTTCTTTTTCGAAAATCATAAGAAAATTCATTAACCTCATAACATTATTAGGCAGTCTTACTTTAAAAATTACAATATTATCAAATAATTTAAATTTGAATAATACTCATAGTACAACTTCACTAAATCTGGCAGAAGAAATTTCGCATTGAAACAAACAATTGCCGACTTATTCTTAAGCTGTGTAATAGCACAAAATACGTAAATATGTACACGCATACACACCTGTGTATACAGTTTCATCTTCTGAGCGTAGGCAGCTGTTGTCTTGTTGTAATCAGAGGGCAATTCGCTTCAGTAAATATTGATTTTCATGCTGTTACCTTTTACGCCACCTGAATTAATAATGAAAGTGAAGGATGTGTGAAAATGTTCGAGAGTGCAAGAACGAGAACAAGAAAAAATAGTCATTACAAAAAAATTGTTATTGTTATTTGTAGGTTTTTTTTTTTGTTTTGCACTTATTTTTTGCTCTTTGAAAGCGTAAATGCCTTGGAAATCTATGCCAGTCAGCGCAATCACTTCGATTCACTTTATGCATGAAAGGATGCGACAGCAGACGGATGATGGCCGACAAGGCGTATACGTGATTGTTGCCATAGACGACAACATACAAACTGCCTTGAACACGTGTACATACATATATGAAATATGTATTTGAGAAAGCGTATATTTTTAGCATAGTGCGGGCAGGCAGAGCAGCAGTGGAAACCGAAGTGCGGCCAAATCAATAATTGAAGATAATTTTTGTTATTTTTCGCTTGTTTTGCTGTATTTTTTTTAACAATGAGAACCATGTGAAGAGAAAAAAAATATTTTGAAATGAAAGAAAGCAGAATAATTTGTTTGTTTTTTTTCTTTTTTTCTTTGTAATAGATACTATTTTGCTAACAAATTGATGACTTAAAAAATATTTAAAAAAAATTTAAAATGTAGAATTATCTTTGTTTCCTTCCTTTCAGGTGGCTACTACTCCATTGAGCAGACGAAAAGTCGCCTACGCATTATCGCGCTAAATACAAATTTTATGCGTCACGATCACAAAACAGCGCCAAGTCATTTGGCAGCGGTTCGTCAGCGTACACCGAATGGCGCTGCCAGTAACGGCGACTCGGAGTACAAGACCTATTACTATCATCACGGCTCAATACATCAGCACCATGGGCATTCGCAGAGTGATTGGATGTCACATGGCGGTGGCTATGGCGGTTATGGTGGTGGTCATCATCGTGGCATGAATGCCATACCCGCGTTGAGCGTTGGCGATGGTGAGGGCAGGGTGAGTGCGCTCTCCGAGTATGAGACACAGGATGCGGAGAAGCAGTGGGTGTGGCTGGAAGAGATGCTGTTCAAGTCGAAAAATAACAAGGAAACGGTAAGTTTTGACTAGAGACGAAACCAAGCAAAAATATAAGAAAAAATGGTATTAATGAAGTATGCAGAAAATTTGGTAACTTGACTTCTGCAATTTATATATTCTTAATAATTCTTTTCTTTCAAATTTGTTTCAGAAATTCCTGAAGCACTCATTTAAAAAAAATATATTTTTTTTTACTATACAAACAGGGAAATTTAGCAACAACATTTTTTATCTTCTTCATCTTCTTTCCTTTTTCTTTGGTTCCAACGTCGTTCCCTGTCAAAAGATACTTTAAAATCGACCAAAAATTGGTGGGGTTGATTTGATTTTTGCGGGTCTTTTCCTAGACTTGGCGTGTGGTGAATATGTGGACAATAGTTGATTTACCAGGTGTAAAGTCGCATTGATAAGGTCCAATCAGTTTGTTAACGGTGGGCTTTGGCCTTTCGCACAATATGCTCGACAAGACCTTATAGGCGATATTAGGGAGATCGGGTTCTAAAAGAGTCTGCTTTGGTTCTCATACCTTCTGATAGTCGCGGTCTCTTATCGTTGAGTTTTTGAGCATTACCCTAAAGGCAGATCTACGGTCTTTCACAGCAAAATTGAACTGGTTGAAAGTTCTTCGAATTTGAATATTATAGGCAACCATATTGCGGACCCCAGCGTAGTCGATCAGCCTCAACCCATTTAGGCATATTTTGCTCTGAAAACTGAATCTACCCATAGTTGTACCGAAGATACCCTCTCTGCCAATCCTGGCGTTAATTTTGGCAAAAGATTTTCACATCCTGGTGAGGACCACGCCCATGAGTACTTTCTAGACAAGTGTCCTTGGTCACATTGCTCTTGTCTTCCGTCGGAGAAGAACTTTGGTTTGGAGTCTCTCTCCCACCACACAAAATTTGCGCTTCTTTATATGGCAACTAAAGTATGTTCAAAGAACTTTTTGAACGGTGGTGATGTCAGCCTTTTATTCTTACTCTCCATTAAGGGATCGCACATTTCAGGTGCACTACCACACTTCACAATCCATAACTCGTTTGCGGGGGTCGTCACCAGTATCTCAACCTAGGTGTTATAAATTTTTTCTTAGGAGCTAATTTCTATGTTGCGGATACCAAGCTCAGCGCAAAACCTCGCTAGGCAAGTGAGTTTAAAGTTTTTACACATTTATATTGCGAGCCGATTCTTTCAGGACCGGCGCCAGCCCGCAGTTATGAATCTGGTGATTAATTTGTTGCATTTAGACTTCAACGAATCCTTAACCTCCCTCTATTTTAGCCGATACCCAAGGGTTTGTTACCGCATCTTGCACAGAGGTTGCTCCTGTTACCAGAATGCGCGTTGTGAACGTAAGAGTAGGGTTTGAGTATAGCGCTGACACTGTAACTGCTTACCTAGAAGCTTGACTACACCTCACTACAATCAAACCGCTTTGTATAAATGTATATCTGTGTTCGTATGCAAAGAAAATAATACAAATAAATAGAACCTTCAACGTAAGCTCAGCCAGACATATTGTATGTGCTAAGCTCTTCGCTTCCTTTTGTTATAAAGTGTACGTACGAGTATATGTAATGCGGATAACTGTATGATGGTGTATGTATTCACTCTTAAATGTATGCCATGGAGCACCCTGCTGTCTGTTTCTAATGCAAATATTAACAGAAAAAAGCCACAAGCTACCTCATTCTTTCTATCTTCTTACTTCCAAAAAACTTTTCACTTGTGGCCTTCGCCTTTTCTTTCCTTTCCTACTTTTGTGTGTTCTAATTCCCAACAGCAGTTCCATTAACCCTTATTAACAATAATGAGGCGGCAAATATAAACATGACTTTGACTTTCTGCTTTGGGAATTGTTGTTTTGATTTTTCTTTCTCTGTGGTTGATTATTCATAGCAAAAATGCCAACAAAGTGTGAAGAAGTGATAATTAAAATTAGAAAAGTTCTGGAGGACAGGGAATTTTTTCTAAGTTTTATGTGTGTTATTTTCAATAATATTCAAGAGATGGCATTAAAAAATTAACATAAGATATATTAAATAAAAAAAAACAAAGTTTCCGTAAAACTATTTAATAAAATAAAGAAGAAAAAAAATATAATTAACAGAATTAAAAAAAAATAATTTTCTCTCCCACGGACAAACTTAATTATTTACATAATAGACATTGTAGTACATGCAATATGCCAAATAACGTTATTAATTATCAACAATAATTTGTATTAAAGCAGTTGTTTTCATAAAGAATAAACATACTTTTTATAGTTTTAATTGTGTAAATTTTAAAAACATTTTATTTTTTTATATTTGTCAACAAAAAAAAACCGTGAGAAAGGTGCAACAACTATAGTGACGAATTAAAGTTAACTGTTTACGTTAAATCAAATATTTAATAATTCGTGTGAACTTGCATTGCGGTGCACAAATAATTTTATTTCAGTATTTTTTCTCTGTATTCGTTTTTGAAACATAATTGCCGCATTTAAAATGCGAATATTAATTACTATTTAATTAACCTTTGTAAATTTGTTGCGTAATTGAGTAAATAGTTTTCGCTGATTCTTTTATTGAATTAATAATGAGAGTACAGTTCCATACTTACATACATAAACATAAGTAAAGTATGTCAAATGTGCGTAATATATGTAGGTATTTTTTAATGCATATATGTAAAATCATATGCATTCCATAATTAACTTATGTCTATGGACTATTTCATTCATATTTTATGTTTTATTTGCTTATTTACTGTTGTTGTTTTTATTTTTACAAGTACATTTAAAATTATGACGCCATTTTGTAAATGCGAAATTTACTCTGCTATTACGTGACCAACTGGGACTGCGTGATGCGTTGAAAAGAACCCGGTGCAATTAATTGTAACAAATATATGAATAATTCACTGTTAATTTTTGATTTTTGTGGGCATTTTAATTTACGGTAAAATAAGATGTTTCCGCTTACAGAGAGTACTATAAATTTTGAGCTGATTGTTCGTAAACAAAAAGTGTTTTACGTGAATATTTTTTTAAAAATATTTCAATTACGTATTTCATTAAATACACATAATTCAAAACGAAGTTTATTTAATTAACAGTTTTAGAAAAATGCCAATACTTTTTCGCTATTATCAAGCGTTCTCTCATTTTAATAGCCATATTGCAAGGGTATTAAGCCGAGCTCCACTCCAGCCTCTAGTGTGCGCATCGATATTTTTAGTAAGATGCCCAGAAATACTGATAAATTTTAAGGAAACATTCGTTTTTTCATTTCAGAAATATATTCGTAGGACAGTAAAAAATCTGCCTAGAGGCTAACTAAACTTCAGAAATAAGAGTTTTACAGTTTTAGAGCTTGGCCTAGATAAGATTCGAATACATGACCCTACGCACGGTAGCATGCCCTGCCAACCACTCAGCTACCGGATCTATATTCCAGTTTTAAATTTTCAGCTGCTTCAGCAAACCAAGTTTTCTACATATATAGATGCATGTGTTTTCTATTTCTCTAAACTTTATTTTATTTTAAAAGTCCCAGCCTCATTGTTTTTTATAAGAAGATATGCTAAAATAATTTTGTATAGTTTTAAATCCTCAACTGTGCTATTTCCAAAAACTTTTCAGAACAAAATTTCAAAACAATTGCCAATCCTCCTTAGCACTCGTAAGTAGGATTTTCAGTCACACACTTTTTGGCTTATTTGTTTGAATTATGTTTCTTAAGCAATGGCAACCCTACCCAAAAACTTGCTCTTTATATTTTTACCAAAATCCTCATACAGGGTGTCCCAAAATAAACGCATTATTTATATTGGTTGACATTTGTATAGCAAAATATTGACAGCCCTAAAAAAAACGACAGTAAAAATGATGCGGGTCATAATAGGACAACGTCTCTTCGTTATTGAAAAATTTTTAAAAGTAATTAGTTTGGTGACCGCAGCTCGAAAATATGGTTGACATAGCGTTTTGTGAAGGATATATTTGAATAATTTCGAGAAACAGAATTCTTAAAGATGCCAAACCCGTTGTTCAAATGACAATATCGAAGCAATGCGTGAGAGTGTCGTGAACGATCCATGAATCTCTCCACAGCACACTCACTAAAAATCTGTGTTTTCATGCTTCAATACAATTAACACGACAACTTAAGCCTAATGCCGAACAAAATCAACCCAAACGTTGAATCATACTTTCACCTTTCGCCGAAATTGTCGCTTTGCAGCTGCTCAGAAACCACATGTGATTGTCGAAAAACAAATGGATCCACAACGTGTCACATTTTGGTGTAGATTTTGGGCTGGGAGCATAATTGGATCATACTTTTTTGAAAATAAGGCTTGTCAAGCAATTACTTTTACTGATGCTCAGCAACGCGATATGAAACCGAAGTTCTGTTTGCCGAAATTAAATGATATTGATGTGGTCAATGGGTGGTTGCAACAGAATATTTTAATTACTGCGTGAGACATTTCCAGGTCGTGTCCTCTATCATTTTAGTTTTTAGATTTGGTCGTCTATATATATATATATATATATATATAATTCGCACTTTGTTACCGCTAAAGCGATTTTCGGTCGGGCTACTTCTTCAATGTGTAATTATGCGTCTTGATGTTTTTTCAACAAATTTTTTATTATTTTTTTAATTTTTTATTTAAGTTAATTTTCTGTAATTTTTTGCTTTTTTCAATTTAGCTCATTGACCAATTAAGAGATTGTGAATCATCAGCAATTAATCGGAAAATTCGAGCCTAGTCAATGTGTGTGTTTTTTTTCTCTTATACTTTTAAACTGGCGGCAGCCCTGCCGAAATTAATTTTTATATAAAACCAGGGCTTGTACTGTACTCTTAAATATATTTAACTTGTTGAATTGTTTACAACTAATTTTGTTGAATTTTCTGTTATAAACTTCTTAACCCTTCACTTGTTGTTAGACAAAAAAGTTGGTGGTAACCTTTTCAAAAATATTTTCACCTGCAAGTCTCTTAAATCTATTTGTTATTATT